AATTTTTGTTTGTTAAGTCCACTTTCCTCACTAGCTCTACTTTAATTCTTGCGCTACTTTCGCTTAATGCTTTTTTCATAATTTGCTCCGAATAGATGTTGAAGAGTAGTGGATATAAGATGTCTTCCACCCTTTTGAATTTCAATGCTCTCATTATAACAATTACTTATTTTAACTTTTGATAACTGATTCCGGTAAAGGTTTGCTACAATTCTGATGTCTGTGTAGTCTGTGTCCACATCTCGAGGTTTTTCTATTAGCTGTTTATGCTTCACGCCGTTGAAACTTTTAGAATAGTCCACGGTTTTTTAGTTACGGGTATGAACATTGATTTTAACTAGTCCTGTGGTATTTTGATGGTGTCATATTTGCTATTCAGGTAAGTAGTTAAATCGTCTAATTGATTGTTTGTTTCACATATGATTTTTAATATTTCACCATGGATTTTATTTTGGCCTGGTGCTGTGTTATTTTTGAGGGTTTTTATAGCTTGTTTTTATCAGAAATTTCGTCAGTGTGTCGTTGTTCTGTCCGTTTAAAATTTTCTATAAAGATATACGAACTTGCTGAATGATTGTTCATCGAAACTACGACCGAGGCTATTCATTTCTTGCAAAATAATTTGTAACAAATTCAAGCGTCTCTTCTTCTTTACGGGCCTTGCACTAACCAACCTCTCGCTTTTCCTCAAATGCAATGCAATCGTCAATATTTCTACTATCAACTTTGAATTTGCTGATCAGATATGTTAAATCTCCTCTCGTTACAAGGTTTTTTCTTTCCAACTGATCATTTAGAGTTTTTAGTGAATCTTCAATTATCCTTGGGTTCGAAACTTCTGCAGTTAATTTTTGAACAATTGTCTCTTGTTCGGCTTTTGATAATCTGTTGCTCCCGGGTTCAGCAGTGTGGTCTATATGAGTTTCAACAAACTTTAGAGTGACAAATCCTAAACAAATTATATTATTGCTAAAAATAATTATAAAAACATTACCTATTAGCTTCGGCTGAAATGTTAATTACAAAGCACGAAGGACATGAATACTCCCTTTACTGCGTTTTTTAGCTGAGCTTACAAATCTTAAAATATAATATACAATATAATAATTATATTTACTTAGACATTACTACACATTCAACGGTTGTAATTACTTCGGCTACACTCATATACTTTTTTTTCTTCACCTTGTAAAGAAAGCAAAGTTTAATTCTCCATCAGCTTGGGCCTTCCAAGCTTAAAACTCTTCAAAATTCGTAAAATACAAAGAATTCCTTTATAATTCAGTTATGACAAGTTGTTTAATTAAGTCTATATGAAATGACGCAGACCAAGATCACGAAATAAGAATCAGAATTGAAATTGCGAGGCAGTTTTTCTTAAGATTTAAAATACTATTCAGCGACAAAAATCTATGTTTAAACTAAGATTAAATTTTATTGAGTGTTGCGTGTGGCCACAACTACTGTATGGAATAGAAACTTGGACTCTCAAGGGGCTCAGACCATCAAGAAATTAAAGTCTTGAAACGTGGCTGTGTCGCAGAACCATAAATGAAATGAATTAGAATTACTAATGAGGAAGCGTTAAGAAGAATAGGACAAGAAAAGAAATTAATGATTACGATCAAACGAAGAAAAACAACTTAGCTTGGTCACATTCTAAGAAATAATAAATACGAACTACTACAGACTGTCATGCAGGAATGAGTTGATGAATAAAAGGCACAGGAAGAAAGAAGAGATTCTGGCTAAGAAACCTCAGAGGCTGGACTCAGACGAGTGTAGGAGAGCTATTTCATGTTGCAAGTATAATGGAACTGCGGCGATCGATTGGTGAACTTAAACACTTGCAGGTTTTTTTTATTATTTAATTTAACATGACTTCACAATTTGTACAATAATCGTACTGTAAGTACTGTAACTACTAACTCTGGGTAATAACTCCAAGTACTGACTGACTATAAGTACGTGTTCGATCCTCTTAAATATGATTCTGAAATGCGTTATAATATGTACAAACAAAACAATGGATAAGCTCGGGAATAAAGTACAAAGTTAAAATATACGTGATAAGCAACGGAAAATGATCAGTATTTGCGTATAACAATTAAGAAGCAATTACATGAATTGAATTTTTAACTATCGCTACAAATATTTATTTTTACAATCTAGGATGACGAACTTAACATAAATATTTTTGGGAACAGACCGTTATAGGAAAAATACAGTTATATACAGGGTGTTAAAATATTACTTGGTTGCAAAGTACATTACACAAGAGACAAAGACGCATTTTGAAAAGTGAGGAAGAAGAGGAATATGAAATGGAAAAGAAGTTTTGTTTGTGCATTGTGGGCTGATGATATGTTTTAATATGTCGGTTTTAGTTGAGGTGTGTCCTTTAAAATAGTGACACTTGTCCTTTCCGTTGTTTTTTATTATAACGTTTTTAGAAAATTAAACTAATTCACGTTAGGATTAAATAGAGGTAGTTTTGTAGTAAATGAAAACATTTCACCGGCAGGCGATGGTGGTTGCAGTAGCAGCGCGTACGTAAACTACTATCGAGTCTAATCCTTTTTGAAATACTCTCCCAATAAAATGTTTAAAAGCGTTTCATTCCTACATTTTAAACCAATCCTACGTTCGCATATTTTATTCGAAAAATTCAAGGGATTTATACTTGAAATACGGTATCGGGTTTTGGCCTGCCGAAAAAAAACAGCGGAGAAAAGAAAATCCCGGAAAATGTACCGCGTTTGTTTTCTCCGGTGAAAATATTTTTCCCGGTTTTAATAACAGGGCAAAGTATTTGCTGGTTCGTGAAGTATAGCCTCGGGCCAGTTTAGACATGCTCTTAGAAAGTTCCGCTAATAAACGAACATTGCGGTGAGCATGCCCCCCCCCCCCCGACCCTTTTGAGAAACAAAAAAAATGCCGTTATAAAGGGAGACACGTCATTCATAAAAGCCTACAAATTATTAGCTAATAAAAACATATAATTCATATATGCCGAGTATTTTTATATGTATTCGGTATAGAGCACCTAAGTCAAGTCAAAAGCGACGAAATATTGTTATTGGCAACACCGTCAAGTATATTCAGGTATTAAATGGAATGGAATATGGAAAAGAGATATGTTTTTCAGTAAAAAAATATTTTTTTTATTAATATTAATACTACTTCTATATTACAAAAAAAAAATGTTTTTGAAAACAATAAATGTCCTTATGCTAAGCGTTAACGCGATGTTTTTAGAGTTCTTCGAAAATATAAAATATAATTTTTGGGTGTCGCTTAAACCTAAAGTTAGTATCGATCATCAACTAAAGCAATGTCAGTATGGCGTGTAGAGATTTCGACATTGCTTTTAAGAAAATAAATATTCTTGCTTCCAAAAATCATAAAATGAGTTTTTTCAGGATTAAGTTTCAAGTTGTGTTTTTTAGGAAGATCACTTAGTGTATGTAATTCGTCTTTAATAAATGTAGCCTTCAAGAAATCTTCTGTATCAAAAGAAAAATAAATTTGAGTTTCATACTGTATTTTAGAGTATCGCAGTATAAACGAGAAAGAGCAAGGGTCCTACGATGGAACCTTGTGGAAGTTCAGATCTAATATGTAACTGATCAGATAAATTGTTATTACACTGTATAGACTGAAACTCATAGACAGGGAAGCTGCATTATCAAAATGATAATATTTTAACTTATCGTATCAAATGCCTTTGAATAATCTAACAGAATAAGGGTAGTTTTCATTTCATTCATAAGTTTCATATGTCCGAAAATTCGTTCGAAAACCGCATTAGGTTTTTGATATAATTAAATTTTCATTGAAATATGTATCTATTTACCTGTATACCTGTTGCTTTCTTTTTATATATAGATATCGGTTTTAAAACATTTGTCGAAATCGTCCAATTCCAATATCCATTGTTTAATGTAATTCCACAGGTCTTCCTCCAGTCCTCTTTCTCTCCCTCTCTCCTTCCCTGTCCCTCTCTCTCTCTCCTCTCCCCTCTCTCCCCCTCTCCTCTCCCACTGACCGCGCTCCCTTCCCCCTTCTCTCCCTCTATCCCCTCCCCCCTCTATCCCCTCTCCACCTCTATCCCCTCTCCCCCTCTATCCCTCGCCCCTCTGCCCCTCTAACCCCGCTGACCCCTCTTCCCACTACCCCCTATACCCCTCCCCCTCTATCCCCTCCCCCTCTACTCATGACCCCCTCTTCCCCTCTATCCCCTCCCCCCTCTACTCATCACCCCCTCTTCCCCTCTATCCCCTCTACTCCTCACCTCCAGTATACCTCACCTCCTCTAACCCCTCACCCCTCTGCCCCGTCTCCCCCTCTATCCCCTCACCACTGCTTTTATAATTATTTCTCCGTGTAACGGCTTAATCAAAAGCTCATAATTCTGTTTGTGAAACAATAAAAGGTGTTTTTAAAACAAAACGTTGTTTGAAAACCTTAACCTGTTGCATACTTTTTCTTCGACCATTAGTTTTTCGATACATTTTTGCAAAACACACATTCACTGACATAACCTTGAGAATTGACAAATGTCAAAAATGAAGCCGAAAACATCCGATGGCTCCCAAACCCGTGTGGTAATATCCCGGTAGGAATAATTGCGGTATTTTCTGTTAGGATAGGCATTTAAAATGCCTTTTTCTACTTCTCTAAAATACTCAATAGCGTGCGGAAAGTGTCATTTTACCACGACCATTCCGGGATATTACCATATGATACCATAGCAATCAGGTGTTTTCGGAGATATTTCCCACGCCTTGAATTTTGACGTTTGTGAATTATTTCAGACGTCACACAATGAATGTATTGGTGTTGTTTTGCACAAATGTACTCACAACATAATGGTCGTAGAAAAAGTATAGCATGCAACACGTTTGTTAAACTTTTTATGTTACTCGTGACTCAAATTCCTTTTATAACACTTGTTGCATAATATTCTATTACCTAATGTCCTCATAATTGTATTTCAGGGATCGAAGCTATTATGTCCGAGTTCTTCAACGACACGACCACGGCCTTCTACATAATTCTGATTGTGTGGTTGGCAGATCAGTATGACGCGATATGCTGTCACACGGCGATTACCAAAAGATATTGGCTCAGGTGCGTAATAGAATTCTGTTATTATTGTTTATTTTTATATAAAGAATGATATAAAATGAATATATTCACATCTAAATTTGTTTTATAATGGTACTGACTGGGTGACGATTATGTAATTGATAAAACCTGAGAACGCTAAACGTTTTCGGTGCTCTTATAAAACCCCTATAGCATTTAATTCGATAATGAGTTTCAAATGGATCAAGTTCAAAAATAGCAATATTTAGCCTCTGGTGTACTTCGCAATATATTATCAGGACTCTTGGTCTTAGTCTTAATACACTCGCCTACGATTGTTAAACAAATAACCTCAATGATTTAAAAGTTATCAAAGTTAGGTCGTAGATTATTGAACGAAACAAAAAGATGTTTAGCAAAAATTGCAGGTTTTTAGTCCTAAATTTGACACAATAATAATATAGGGAGTACCATTAAAAGAATATGAGTTTTTTATTTCGGAAATCGAACAGTTTGGACTGTTATGTATCACGGATTGAGAATACTTCTTGAACAAGTTGTTATTTCTAGAAAATATTAATTTTTCAACGCCATGAAAATTCTTGATTTTACCTTTAGATTGAAATAATTTAGAAACTGTCAAACTCAGGCCCTATATTATCGAACTAAAAGGGTTTGAAATAGCACATAATACAATGAAGTACATGGTTTTCTTTTTAACAAATCATACTTTTTCACGCCATACTTTTGTGACGCGCTCCGTATAATTTTAAAAGTAAGTTAGTTTGTTTGAGAGCAGTACACTGCATATGGGACGGTTATTCAAATTCATCATTATGATTGGTGATTCCGGGGATCATTGCTAATGAGCAAATTACTATCAAAGAATTAATCCGCAGCAAAGGATGACAAAATTTATTTACCCAGGCCATTTTAGAACACTAACAGTGAATGAATATCAGTAAAAATTATAGCTACAGTAGGTTAATTACTTAAATGCAAAATTACTAAATCGAAGCTCTTGTCTTTAATATTGCTCAATGAAATGTCTGGTAAAATACATTTGTTATTTTCGTCTATACGCGAATAACAAATGAACCTAATCGAGCATCTTGTTTGAAGTATAGATGGAGTACTTCTTGTGTAGCCAGACACACGATAAATGGTCATGATTGTGATAATGCTATTAACGTTTCTAACTGCTCGTAGGAATTCTTGACTAATAATTCAAAGGGATCCATGGTTTCACTGGGTTTTAATTTTATCAATTACACGGGGCGGACATTTTTGGGAGTATTATTATTGCGGCTAACTTTGTTTTTTAATTCGACCCACATCATTTCTATGGGATTTAAATCGCAGTGATAAGGTGGTTACCTAAGGGGTATATTACCAGATTTTTTTATGACCTCGTTTACGAATTAAGTTTTATCAGACGATTTGGTTCTTAAAAGTTCAATTAGCTGTTTTTTGTTTAAGTATCTTCAGGTTATGCTGACTAAGGAACCTTTGTAATACCTCTCTTTTGCTACTGATCGTTGCTATTGTTTTAGTTAAAGTGCTGTAATTGTCATTATAATAATCTATTACGCTGCCTGGTGGAATATTTGGAAGAAGAGAATTTTTTACCCAGTTTTCAAAAGGTTTACTTGTCATGTAGTAAAACGTTTGATTTGGATATTCTTGTTCTTCTAGATGCAGGTACCTTCAAAATGCAGTTCGATGAAAAATTTTGCTTGCCTGTGTCCATAGTATCGTGGGTGTCGAGCCAAGTCTCGTCTACATAATATATGCCTGTCTACGCTAAATTGATTTTATTTAAATATTTTTGGCTTCATTCCATCAATGGTTGGGTCATTTTAATTCAACTCCGCTTCGAATCCACTCTGCATCATCTAAACACTTTCATTATTTCTTTGTGACATCTTTGCTTCCTCTCCAGCGAATCATTATCAAGAAATGTTATTGTAAACGTTGGGTGATGTCTTTTCAAACAATTTTTTGAAATTTAAATTCATAGACACAGTATGTATGGTAATAAAGATAAAAATATATATATTATATAAATTTTACCTTCATATACTCTTGCAGCACATATTCAAATGACACCTTCTTTTTGGTTCGTTACTCTCCTGCATTCCGTCGTACGAAATTTTCTTCAACCCACTATCTAAACACAATAAATAATGACTGTAATACCAACAATGGCAAAGCGCAAATAGTTCTAAAGTTAGGCCAGATATATATATATATATATATATATATATATATATATATATATATATATATATATATATATATATATATATATATATATATATATATATATATATATATATATATATATATATATATATATATATATATATATATATATATATATATATATATATATATATATATATATATATATATATATATATATATATATATATATATATATATATATATATATATATATATATATATAGATATATAGATTAATATTTATTGAACTTTAATGTGTAAGAAGAAAAGTTTAATTTTTTGACCGAGAAGTAACTAAAATTGTCATTTGTTTATTTAGAAATAATGGAATTATAAAAAATACACGAATTTAATTTTTGTGATGAAGTAGGAAATGGGAGTCGCCTTGTAATATTGCTGTGAAATTGCTCTATTCCTCGTGGATCTGTTAAGAGGAGATGGCATAATCCAACTCATTTGCAATATCCAACGATTTTTATTCATTTCATGGAACGAACAATCATCTGCGTACACCCTCGATCGTGCCGGAAGAAAATGATTCATAAATATAATTTCGTCGAGGAACCCTTCCTTCCCGAGAGGAGAGAACTTCATTAGTCGTATGAGAAACGATTTCCAGGTTATAGTGTTTATAGACAAATAGAGATGGTTGGTGTCACGTTCCTTGCTAAGGTCGTGATTGCTACGAGGCGCCAATATCGTTTGGCAGACGGGCGTCGTCAACGTCGTCGGCTGGCGTCTCCGACGGGTTTTCATCAAAACCACAAGATATACTAATTATTTTTGAAAATGGGGAAATGGCGACACACACGTAACCGCGCGTTTAATGGAATTCTACTCCCTAAATTCTCTCGGTTATATGTCGTTTACCGCCTAGAAGGGTTGATTGTAATTTGCCAGACAACTTTGTTGTTGTTTTTGCCGATGAAAGCTTAAATTTTGATGGTTTATTGGTGGGTGTCATCTGAGTTTTTGCTTAGTGAAACTAAAAATCTATTGCGTCAAAATTTAATGACAATTCCGCCAACAACTAATTGCTAATACGCGCTAAGGTAAATGTCCGACCTATCGGATACTTAACAAAATAACTCAGGTTAGTCAAAAATAAGGTTACTATTTATAAAACTTCTAGATTCCTCTTGTTAACGTTTCGCCAATCATGTTTTTCGCTTCTTCAGAGCTTGAGTGAAACTGGCTCGTATTTTACTCTGTATCTGCTTATATATTGTTTGAGGGGGGCGGAGCTAAATGAGGGGCATAAATGTCGTCTAGGATGGCTGACTCCCATATTGTTGACAATTAATGACCTGAGCCTTGGTTAAGATTGTTAGTTGGTTATAATTTTCTATAGATGGATTTTTCGTTGATAGAAGAATTGACTACATGCAGAAAGTTTAGTTTTAGTGTTCGCCAACTGCTGATGAGTTTATTTATCTTAGTTTTAAGGCTTTTTCATATTCTTTGAGCCTAGTTGATATTTTTCGTCCTGTCTCTCCATCGTGTTCTGTAACGCATATGCATTTTGTCTTTGACGGAGATGAATAAAAAATCGATTTGAACTTGTTAGGGTCATATAAATTGTTTTGTATTTTCTCGAAAACGAAGGAAGATTTTTTGCATTTGTGAACTATTCATTTCCGGACCCATGCCTATATTATATTTTTATTAAAATTATTCGGAAGTTTTTTCCGGACGCCCTGTATACAAAGGTAATGTGAACCGCACTAAATCTATTTTTTAATACCTGTACTTGTAGCAATAATTTGTCATTATTCTTTTAAAAACTGAAACCAAAAAAACAGTCAAAAAACCGTACTCTATTAATACTAATTTTTGAAAACTATTATTATGAGCTTTTATTTAAGTGCCACTCAGGCATATATTAAGTATTTTGCTTACCAATTCTTCTCTTGCGAGTTGACAATAATGACCGTTACTAACTCAACTTTTTTTTGTAAGTGACAGTAATTTTATTTTAGTTGTCCAGTTTGAAATATTAATAGTAATGATACATTTAATTAAATTTTTCTCCTTAAATTGTAAATCTATCATGCTGCGTGGCAAAGATATTTTTTGGTTATTGTAGTATAGTCAGTGAGCAAGTAGAGCTTGATTTTAAGCGACAGTTCAGGCAATAATGTTGTAGATTTTATTTTCATTTTGTATGTTTTTTATATTATGTTATACTCTGTTTATGTTATTGTATATATCGTGCTATTTTGAATTCGGATATTCAATAATAAATATTTGTTAGGTAGCCGGATTTATAATTGAATAAAAGCATTGCTTACTTTTATTGACCAACAATATTGATAATTCCGTTCTATTTCAGTAAGGTGGTGTTTAGCGTTGTTTGATGATACGAATCCCGTTGTTTGTATTTGTGGTATTAGAAGTTGAGGAATATCAAGTACAGTTGTTAGTTAATTTGTACACATCACATAAGCAACCGTTAATAATATATTATGCAACGCGTTTTGCTAAGACTAAGACCATTAACAATGTTATGTGCTTCTATGTAAGTAAAGCAAGATTGCCTAGTGATTGCACATGGTCTCCCTAATTTGCGTGATGGATGGATATGATTCGCTTAAACGAGACGTACGCACAGTCTGTCTATTAGCGTGCTGCTTGAACCCAACCTGAATTCCTGTTTGTCAAGTATGTAACTCTATATACAATGATGTTTTAGAATACAGACTCAAGTATTGTTTGACTGCTTTTTCGCTTGAATATATCTTTCTCGTTAGACAATGGTTTTATTAGTAGTTTTCGGGAGTGATCTTTTATGGCGGACGCCCTCAGATCGGCAAAGAATGTCATCGTGCATGGCAGGGTGTAGGCCAGGAGGAATGCTACTCTTACTCAAAGCCTTAACACCTTCACAAACAGGGTCGGATAGATTCCGAAAAGTTTTGACGATTTAAATTGGGAAAACTAGATACTGGGTAGACCGGTCCGGACACTTGTGTTACATATGTTATAGTTAGACTCTGAATAGTCCCGTCATATCAGTTGAACTTTGCATTGCTTGGTTGGGCAGCGCCCAATAATCAGAACCGACCATTCTTCATTTCACGGACCAGTAGTTGTTATTTCAGGTATTCCTAGTTATGCTAGTAATTCTAATCATTTCTTCTCATGAATAGCGTAATGGTTTCTCCATTTTTCAATATCAATTCTCTAACTTAACCAATTCGTTTTGTTGGTCTTTGTTTGTCTTGATATTCTCGCTACTTCGGCGCTCTGCGCTGACCTATCAGACCTTTCTCTTTTGTTTGCGACTGTAGCCGCTCGGTTTTTGATTTTGTATACTTTTCGATGTCTTCTCTCTCTATGAGAGACATTTCTTCCATAGCATGTATTCTCCTTTTGTAATATGCACTTTGGTTTGACAGTTTGGATTATAGCACCTAAAGGAATTCACCAGTGCACCATAACTAATCAGAGATCTGATCCACTTTACAATCCTCTCTTAGTAGTCACTTGATTTTATATTTGATTAAATTGCGAGAAAGGAAGTTTTTGATTCCGGTTTTTGTCGAAGTCGTTAACAAGTAATGTCCTGTTTTTTCGACAATCCTCTTTAGGGTTAAGGTCACCCAGGTGAATTATCCTTGTATAATATTACTTTTAGTGGATTAGGCTTGCGTTTTGGTGCGTATGTATAGTAATATCTTTCTTAGTTTCGATTTCTTCAAAATTCAACCTGCAAATGGTTTATAAGATTTGCCCAAAGGGGCATCGCATCGGCACATATTTGAATATGCATTTTCTCTCATTAAATAAACGTTGAGTCGATTTTACTAATTTTTTGTCGTTATTCGATTGCCGACGGGTTTGTTGTTATGCACACACATGTATTTAATTAACCGCTCGCCGGGGTTAATTAATAACCATTCCATTAATCATTCATGTTTATCGATGCTCGGAGAAAAAATGGAAATAGGTATAATTAATCTGGATAATGATGTGTGGCAGATGAAATGTCGTTATTTGCGGATTGAAATACGGTTAAAAACACTGTTTGAAAATAGGATCATGTTTCACGTAATTTAACGTGTCTATCTGCATCGGGTATAATTTACACGGCACCCATTGATTTCGAAAGATATTAAATAATTAATCAATAGTTGGCAGTAAAAAATGATAAAACACATTCTAAAGCAATTTTCTTAACTGACCAAGGGAGTGTGGATAACAGCCTAAATGTTGAGCCTATCAGAGCCGTGGTGTGCTAGACCCATTAGAGGTGACCATAGTTAATTCGCAAATATGAAAGATATGTCCCAATTGAGGATATCTTAGCCAACAATCTCATAGGACCAGAACCAACTGGTGTAAACTGCATTAGCTCGACCAGTGCATTAGTGCCAAAATTAACGTAGTGATTAGACTAATCTCGACTGCCACAACAATTGACAAAACATGACAAATTTATCGACAGTCGTATTATGCGATTTAATTAAAATTTTAATTACACTAAATTACGGTTAAATGCGTTTAATTGGTGGGCATGTAGCCTATTGCGAATATGACACGGCAATAATCGAATAATACAGAATGTATATCTTAGGACGCGCTAGGGGGAAAGTAAAGAGATTGCGAAGGATCTGAGAATCGTCCCTCGGGATTGGACCCTTATATTACTGTTCCGAACTGGCTGCTTGCTTGCGGATGAAAACAATGACCCTTTCATGGCCGAGGTCCGAATTATCGATGGAGTTTGCGAAACATCCCGCATTAAGTCGCCACCATCATTTAGGTTAATGACAAGTTAATTTACAAATTCCGATTACGATCGTACCCTAGAAGCTGTTAAAATATGGCTTGTCATCGAAAACCAAAGGCATGGATAACTGATACGTCTGTGCAGCAACCGTGACGCTTAAGGAATTAAGGGAAGAGTTGCTAGTCAGCGTATATGTCTGGCTGGCTAATGTCAGAAATTTATCAAACATCAAGCCTGTATATATAGATATATATATATATATATATATATATATATATATATATATATATATATATATATATATATATATATATATATATATATATATATATATATAATATATATATATACATATATATATATATATATATATATATATATATATATATATATATATATATATATATATATATATATATATATATATATATATATATATATATATATATATATATATATATATATATATATATATATATATATATATATATATATATATATATATATATATATATATATATATATATATATATATATATATATATATATATATATATATATATATATATATATATATATATATATATATTATATATATATATATATATATATATATATATATATATATATATATATATATATATATATATATATATATATATATATATATATATATATATATATATATATATATATATCTATATATACAGGCTTGATGTTTGATAAATTTCTGACATTAGCCAGCCAGACATATACGCTGACTAGCAACTCTTCCCTTAATTCCTTAAGCGTCACGGTTGCTGCACAGACGTATCAGTTATCCATGCCTTTGGTTTTCGATGACAAGCCATATTTTAACAGCTTCTAGGGTACGATCGTAATCGGAATTTGTAAATTAACTTGTCATTAACCTAAATGATGGTGGCGACTTAATGCGGGATGTTTCGCAAACTCCATCGATAATTCGGACCTCGGCCATGAAAGGGTCATTGTTTTCATCCGCAAGCAAGCAGCCAGTTCGGAACAGTAATATAAGGGTCCAATCCCGAGGGACGATTCTCAGATCCTTCGCAGTAGATGTATAGTGCCGATATAAGCAACAGAAACCGTACATAACCTCAATTTCCTAACCCCCCCGCAGCGGGGGCCCCCCGCGCGTGGCGTCCTAGTGTCCCCCCTGTCTACCAGAGTGCGCTCCGCCCCCCACCCAGCTTGTGTAGCGTCCTGTTTTGCCCCGGTTCCGCCCGTCGCTGCTAGATGTCGCCAGCTTGTGTAGCGTCCTGTTTTGCCCCGGTTCCGCCCGTCGCTGCTAGATGTCGCGCGCTCCGACCGTCGTAGGCCCCCCCGGTAGAGGGCGGTGACGGTGCGGCGCGGTGACGCGGTGGATCGGGAGGATAATTAAATAAACTTGAATTTTAATACATTTTATTTTATTTTATTTATAAAATTGGTCTGGCGAGGAGTTTCTTCTTCTTTTTATGTCGATTCAGTCGACCATCCCATTGTTCCTGTTCCTTGCGTTGTTCTTCTTCCCGTTCCCGGAGGAAATCTAAATACGAAGTGCACTCCTCGCCGTCCCACTCCGTCGACCACCCACCCGGGTACTCCTGCTGCTCTTCTTTTGATCCACCGGGTTGCTCCTGCTGCTGGTGATGTTCCCTTGTCGTTTCATGTCGTACCGGGAATTCTAACCCCCGGTACTCTTTGTGTGATTTGAATATGTGACGCCCTAAGCGATGCGCCAACATAATATGCGACTTGTCATACGGACAAACCGCGATTTTTTCTAGAACAAAACAAAGTATGATATGTAGCGTTTCCTATAAAACACACATTTTTTTTTTAAACAAAACTTCCAAAAAGGGGGGTTATCAAATTATTTTAAAAATTGTTTTTTAAGTTATACGCGCATACCAAAATTCACGTTTCAATTCACTGTCATTTAAATGTAAGTGTATTATTGTCAAAAGGGCAAACTGCAATTTTTTAGTACAAAAAATAAACAAAAAAATGTATATATTTCGCGTTTTCCCCATAAAACGCACATTTTTGAAACAAAACTTTCAGTAAGTGGGGGGTCATCAAATAATTTTAAAAATTGTTTATTTTTTAAAAGCCAAAATTCCCTATTCACTGTCATTTAAAAGATATTAAAAACGCTCAATTTAATTCGATTATTATTGTCAAAAAGGCAAACTGCAATTTTTTAGTACAAAAAATAAAACATATTTCGCGTTTTCCCCATAAAACGCACATTTTTGAAACAAATTTAAAAATTGTTTATTTTTTAAAAGCCAAAATTCCCTTTTCCATTCACTGTCATTTAAAAGATATTAAAAACACTCAATTTAAATCGGTTATTATGCAACGTAAAAAAGATGAGTATCATATTTTAAAAACAGGTAGAAACTAACCAAAAAAGTGATAACCCAAACTGAAACCCACAAGAAAAGACGCGCACTGTATAAAGGTAATTAAAATATAAAACTTACCAGTTGTAGGGTCGTAGGGAAATGGACATCGCACTTCTGTATTCATTGCACTGAATATAGTCTATAATACACATGCAACGTATTTATACACATGCACTCCTTCCATGGTTGAATTAAAAGTCGAAAGGTCTTCAACCCACAAGCACCAACGCCGATTTGAATAGACGCGATGTTGTCGCCAGACAACCGTGCAGATAGGAGTCTCAGGGTCAACACGCTTTCACACGGGAACGCAACCGCTTCGGACGTTGGACGAACGTATGTTGCCGCAAAAGATCAAGGCCAACTTGCTTTCATTTTTTACAATCTCCGTATGGGATGTGGAATTTCATAACGCGCCGAGTCTAAATGTCGAGTTGTTTTGCTTGTTGAGAATAATAATTAATTGCCCCCTTTATATTTGCTCCGTGGGATTAACGTAATGGGAAAAATTTGTTGCAACGCATGTGGAGGTGTCTTCGTTTGTTAACTTTTAGAAAGTATTCTCGCACCGTATAAATACATCTCATTTTTCTCTGTTTTGTCAGTAGTTGTTTTTGGTATTATTCGTGCAACGTGGAAGCTAACTTAGTGGTTTGGTGTTCGTACAAAAAAGCAGTAAGTACCTTTTTTATTGTTTTATTTTAATTCTTTAACATTTGTTATTATTTTATAAAGGTCCTAAAGATCATCTTAGTACTCTCAACCCGTAACCGCAAATAGAATAGCAGCCAATCTTAAGCGTAAGTTTTTTTTATTTTTTTTATTTTGAGATAAAATAATTAATAATAATTTATAGATGGACTTAAGTCAACTGAATCAAACCTGTCTTGCAGAAGGTGATTTTGAGCAGCCGATTGTCAAACTGCATGAATTGCCGATAGGCGTTCCGTTTAAAATTACTAGAGCCAAAATTGTTAATACAAAATTTGGCAATTCCGTGTTGCTGCAATTAGAAAATTCCGTAGTATTTCTTCCTACTCGCGTGACAGAAGCTTTCCGTCCGAGACTAGAACACTTTGCGTCGGGGCAGTACAAACTGGTCTACGAGGGATCCAAAGATATTGGAAAGCCCAACTCTTTAAAGAAATTCAAAATAATTCAAAATTAATCAACATATTATACAGGGTAAGTCTTATTTACTGTTATATATTTAATAAACCACGATGCGCGTAAAGCAGATCATTCATAGAGCGCAAATCTTAATTTTAACCTTACAAAAATTAAAAAAGCATAAAAAAGCATATTTCCGACAAGTTCACTCTTAGAGATAGTGATGTGTGGCTTAGGAGACTAAGTAAAAAATATTGAATCTTGCAACCAAATCGTTTCTAACGAAAAGGATTTATCTATTGGGTTAAAAAGAAAATTACAAACTACAATTCAACATCTGAAAGCTATTAGAAAAAAATTATTCTTAATTATCAACATAAGCATTTTGGATTGGGATTACAAAGTAGTAGCCGCGAGACAAACACAAATGAAATTGTTGTATGGGAATCGGTAGCGTCGTGTTTCCAGGGAAGAGTTCAGACTGGTGTCATAATTAATTTACTTCATAAAGATTTAATTCAATTTTTTAAACGATTCTCGTCCAATATTTCAACAAAAAATTAGTCAAATTTTAAAGAAATTTTTATTGCTGAAAGTAAATACCACATTTTGCGGTGAATTTATTAAGGCAAAAAATGATGTCCAAGGCGAAGTTGATGTTAAATATCTGAGTACCGGAAATGCTGTAGTTGATTTAGGAACAGAATTGAATGATTGGTTTGTTGAAAATGTGCAAGATAAAATTTTAAATCAAATGTCAGAGTTTCAGGAACGTGATTCCGGGTGGGCTTTAAATAATATTATTTATTTAGAGATTAACATTAATAAATTTGAAATGGGTAACGGATCATCCTTCGTTGTGCGACATTGACCAAATTATGATTATCGAGCGGGCTATACGAGGTGGAATTTCGGTGTGTGTTGGTAGATATGCGGAGGCCAACAATAAATATATGCCCAACTACGATTCATCCAGGGATGATTCCTATATCATGTACTTTGACGTCAATAACCTCTATGGCAAGGCCATGTGCGAGCCTCTTCCTTACGGAGGATTCGACTGGATGTCTCATCAAGAGATTGATTCATTTACTGTCATGAACATTCCAGATGAATCTTCCCAAGGATATATCCTAGAGGTAGACCTGGAATACCCGCAGAAATTACATGACACACATAGAGATTTTCCATTTTGTGCCGAACATCGAGTGCCCCCCAATTCAAAGTTACCAAAACTAATGACTACTTTGTATAATAAAGAAAAATACGTCATACACTATCGCAATTTAAAACAGGCTCTCAAAAACGGTCTCGTACTAAAGAAAATTCACAAATATTAAAATTTAACCAATCTCGTTGGTTGAAATGTTATATCGATCATAATAATAAATTAAGAACCCAAGCAAAGACAAAATTTGGTATAAATTTATACAAATTGTTTAATAATGCCGCTTACGGTAAAACAATGGAAAACATTCGCAAGCATCGTATTGTTAAATTTGTTAAAGCGTGGGATGGTCGCTACGGTGCGAAAAATTTAATTTCTAGTCCTAGATTTCACAGTAGAACCATACTTGATAACAATTTGTTGCTTATAGAATTAAAAAAATCGGAACTTTGCTTTAATAAGCCACTTTATATTGGAATGTCCATATTGGATTTGTCGAAAACGACCATGTACGAGTTTCATTATAATTACATGCTTCCAAATTTGGGTCCCGAAAAATGTAAAATTCAATACATGGATACGGACAGTTTCATTTATAATATCAAATGTTATGACGCATATGAAGCGTTATTAAGGCCGATTTAACAAAAATTTGACACGTCTGATTATCCTAATGACAATCCCTATAATATACCGCAAATCAACAAAAAGGTTTTGGGGTTGATGAAGGATGAGACTAATGGCACCATCATTAGTCATTATGCGGGGTTAAGGTCGAAAATGTATACTTTCAAAATTCTTAACGGGTGTAGTTAAAAAGTCAAAGGGTATTCAGTACAATATTGTAAAAAATAAAATTTCATTTGATGACTACGTAGAATGCTTAACAAATTTTAGGGAAAAGTACGCCACTCAACGAACCATTCGTTCATACACTCACAATGTATTTAGCATCGAACAAACAAAAGTTGCCTTGAGTCCTTTAGACGATAAACGTTATCTTTTGCCGAATTCATATGAAACGCTTCCGTGGGGACATTATAAAGTGCCGTAATTATTTTTTAATATATTTTTGTTACAGATTATGGTCAAACAACTTACATTAGAAAGCCTTTGTATTATAACAATTTGCGAAAATATTAGGTGTAGTGCTGATTTTTTGCTTGAGTCACCTTTGCCTTGGAAACTAACGATACTAATATTTAAATATTATTCGAAATATAGATGGAAGTACCTTAAACAATTAGCGCTCCAGTCTGATGGCAATTCTTTATTAAATTTAGAATTCATTCTGTTGAATAAGAGATTTGGATCGTCTTACAGAAATAGCATTTTGGCAACTCCAACCATTGATTTTGACGGAGAATCCGCTTACTGTTTATGGGTCAGTTATTACAGGATAAAATATTCGGAAATTTTAGTTTGTAAATCTTGTCACTTTATATTTCAACTAGTTAAAAAATTTAAAAAGAAAAATTTTAGACTTTTATTGGATCACTATCATTTACAGCTGGATATAAATAATTTGAATGATGTATATCACGATAAACAATTTTGGTGTCAAAGCTGCTTTGAAGAAGTTTTGTTCACTGTAGAAACTGAAGATGAATGTAATTTAATGCTTCACGATGAGAGGAAATATGGAAAAAAGTTACGCTTTTCTGATAGTCCATTGAACTATTAATACTGTGGTTTTATTATAACATATGTAACTGTAGATAAGACTTTTATGTATTGATTGTATTCCATTGTATTGCAACAAGAATAAACATGTATATATTTAGACGCTATTTTCTTTTTTACCACCACCACAACACCGCATAATAATTACACAGAAGTTTGTAATTGTATAATTTATTTATTATATACATTATTACTATTTTACAATTTCGTTAAATGCTAAATTATTAAATTGTTCTAGTTTTCTTTTGCACTCTTGAGCTTGCATCCGCGCCACTTGCAAGTCTGTATTAAAAAGCGCAATTTGTGTTTCAATTTCGTTGATATTGCACTCTAATCCCGACAACTGAGACGCCAAGTTTCTTTTTAAATTGAATGCCTCACAAATGACACTTTTTTCTCTACCGTCCGTGAACACTTCGAGCCAATCAGCGGATGACGTTGGAGCTGCAAACGCTTCACTTGTGGTAGTTTTCTTCTTCTTCTTGCGGGATACGACCGACGCACTTTGTTTTCGTTTGGTCGCAGATTTTTTGGTTTGTTGCTCTACAGGAACGAAGCTGGACGGGAGCACTTCTGATGAAGGAAATTGCAACTCGAAATTTTCCAATAAATTATACAATTCGTTGGATGTCACAATTTTCTCTTGAGCCATCATATACACGTATTTATGTCAGAACTTCTAAATCGAGACTAAATTTATTTCAAAACGTCTACGTTGTCTACCCACGAATCGTGCGACTTATCCAATCCCAACCAGCGCACGAGAACCATATTGCCTCGTCTGCGCAACACCTTTTCGACGAGATATAAGTCCGGGTTAACTGTCTTCTGCAATTCTTCTTCATAAAATCCGCCCATTATGGGTTTACCCTGCATATCTTGAAGCAAATACGTTACGGGGTTAGTAACCCGTACTTTAACAATTTTAAACAATTCCGTGGTCCAATTCGGTGTATAACCTTTGTTGAAAACGTGCTTGACTTTGCTGATTCTAACGATGTCGCCGACTTTAAGTTTACGAGGACCGAATATTTTTATGCTACTATACGCGGTTTTCAAAATTCTCTTTTCGTTGCTCTTACTCACATCGATGGGTTTCGTACCCGTCGTTCTATGTTTTGTGTTATTGTATTCATCAACGATAGAGGCGAGCACATCGATCCATTTGTACGTCCCGCGTAAAGAAAAATGTCGAAACAATTTCTCTTTGAGGGTACGTATCACCCGTTCGACAATTGAGGCCTTTTTTATGCTATACGTACTATAGTGGTTAATTTTATGCTTATCCACAAGTTTCAGAAACGTGTCGTTGTAAAATTCTTTACCGAGATCCGTTTGCAAGTTTTGAGGGTGCCGTCCGTCCTTGAGAATTTTGGAAAACGCCTTGGCGACTTCGACCCCGGTTTTGGTTTTCAACGGGCGACACCATACATATTTTGAGAAACAGTCTATCACAACCAGCACGAATTTAAAATTTCTGTTTTGTTTGCTGTAGCGATCTAATTGGGCCAGATCCGCTTGCCACAGGTCATCCATCCCTCGTATTATAGTCCGGCGGCGAGCATAATTTCTGCGTGCCGGCTTGTGCAGTTCTCGAACCAGTTGTACCTTCTCTTTATTCATAATGTGTGTTCGGTTGCGATGGAGGATTTAAAACCCTTTGTTTCAATACCTTCATTATATTCTCATTTTCGTTCGTAAGTCGCTCCATTTTGGTTACAATATCATGAAATTGCTGTGACAAAACGGCGACTTTTGTCATGTGCTTTTCCAAATCTTTCTTTGCGCTCATTTCGCTTAGCTTTTGGTGGAAAACTTCGCGAAACTGCATAATTTCATTTTCGAGTGTAGTGCTACTCATTTTCAGTTGTTCTTCAAGACGCGAGAATTTAGTTTTGTCTTCAATTTGTAATCTTTTCGTGTACGCTTCGAGTTTCTGTCCAATAATCTTTCTCAATGCAATTTTTAATAAATTACTTGTCTCATCCACATATTTTTTGTTAGCCACGTCACCGTCGTCGCTAGGCGTTTGGACATTGCAAATTTTTAAATTGTTCATATTGACGTTTCCGTCTGGCATATAGTCGAGGGCGCTTCTAATCACAGTATTAGTGAAGGGTCGTCGCAGCGCGCTAGAACGTCCAAACTTGTCCAGACTCATCGTTAAACTAACGTATAAAACCTGATTCTTTTAGCTCTTCAACGATTGAAACTATTTCGTTATCATGAGACGTGTTGCCTGCGTGTTTCGACGCGATTAGTAATTTCAGACGCTCTACGAGTTCATTGACGTCGTCCCAGTATACATATTCAGTAGGAGCGTCATTATAACGCATATTATAACCTTGACCGCTGTACGAGTACGAACGCGACTGAGATTTTATTAAGGGTCGGATGTGACCTTGGTATATTTTGGTACAGTCGATGCGCCTTTCAAACGTCCGATCGCGTCCCTGTGCACCTGGGTAGCCTCCATTATTTTTTTATATTGTGCCAAATCGTCTTTTGTGTATGCTATGGGATCTTTCAAAAACACCAAATTATACAAGCCGCGGGTACCGGAATATCTCTCGCCGTCTACAATAATATCGCCAGATCCTTGATGAAAATCCAGCGATTTATTGCCGAGAAACCATTTGGATGATATTTTGTCGTAAACGGGTCCGTAAACAATATCGGTGTCGGGCGATTTTACCCATAAATTTTGAATATATGAATGGGAAATTTCTGGATATTGTTCCAGGTATGATTGAAGGGATGCGTTGGCCACGCTCGATGTGTCAAACACATCATCTTCCTCCTCATCGATATTTTGCATCTCAACGCTCTTATTGGGATCCGGGCGTTTCCTGAATTTCTTCCATAGGCAAAAATGATACGTTAACCTTATTTTTTGTTTCTTCGTTCGGTTCCTTTTTGTGTTCCCGCTTGACACCTCGACGTTCAGTTTTTATTTCTGCCGGTGACGGTGATAGCTTTATTTTTGCTATACGTTCTAGCGGCTCGCTGACGGGTTTGAAAAGCTTCCGAATTGACGCATCCTCTTCGCTCTTACCCAATTTTAATGTTAAATACTTCTTTCGAATAGATCTAGACAACTCGTTTACTTTTTTTTTTAGCGCCGCGTCGGCGATGTCGGCGGACGTCGCCTTCATGACTGTTTCTATCGACAATTAAATATCGACTTTTATATATTTATCGAAACCCTTGCGGTAGCGTCCGTTTTTTTACGTCGAAATCTTTGACAATTATCAAACAGCCGTACTTTTCTTTCCAGCACTCGGAACAAATTTGTTTAAACGTGTCGTATGAAACGTCGGGTGAGACATGTTCATCATAAACGTGACGTAAATTCATGTCATCCTGTTTAAACAACGCGACAATATTGCAATTGTCACGTATCAATTGCTTGGGTACCTTGGAGTATGTCTGACAGAGATAAATAGCGTCGATGGCCTTGTGTCGGCACATCGAAAAATACTCGCGAATTTTATCTTGCTTGTCGCACGCCACGTCGTCGAAAATAAACAGAGAATTCTCTTTCGCATCGCTGGGGTCGATTATCGAGTCTCTTTCACTGTAGGGATAATATCCAACTCCTTTGACATTGCTCAATACGCGAGATAACAGTTGATATTTTGGTTGATACAACGACTTTGAGTAGACGTAAACATTTTCGAAACTTGCCCCGTTGGGGTTAAAGAGTAGCGCTAACATGGTGTTGGTTTTGCCGCAACCGCTAGGTCCGCAAAACACCGCCCTAAATGAATTGGGTAGCAGTTGACCGTGTTTGCTTTTGTTAAAGAAACCATCTCCGCAAACCAAATCTAAATTATCGATGGGGAGCTTGAGTTTCTGCTGCACCACCCCGCATGACTACAATGTTTATTCGAGACACCTCGTATATATATATACGACACAAGCAATTTCCTTTAATTAGTATGTTATGCTTCGCGTCCGGAAGTGGTCTCGTTAACACGCTTATTAACAAGTTACCTTTTGAAGTACACATTCCGGGTTACCAGTTTTGCGGTCCCGGTACAAAATTGGAAAAACGCTTGAACCGAGGCGATAGCGGGGTGAATCCTTTGGACGCTGCGTGTAAGGTACACGACATTGCCTATTCGCAAAACAAATCGTTAGACGAACGTCATAAAGCGGATAAAGAATTGGAAACGCGTGCGTGGCAGCGAGTAAAATCTAAAGACGCAAAGTTTGGTGAAAAAGCTGCCGCATTCTTTGTCACCGCGACTATGAAAACTAAACGTAAGCTCGGTATGGGTCAACAACGGCGTCCCTCTGTTTCGTTTCGACAGGGTGTCGTGAAAAAGGTTCGCAATGCATTAAAGAAGAAACAATTGTTTCATATCGATAACCCTAAAATGCTTAGAAGATCGGCACTGGAAGCGCTTCGAGCTGGCAGAGCCGCTGTAAGAAAAGCGGGAGGACGTAAAAAAATTAGGGTACCTAGAATTATACCGTTCGAATCAAAATCGGGCGGTATTTTACCACTTTTACCGTTATTAGGAGCGCTAGGGGCTTTAGGTTCGCTCTCGGGCGGAGCCGCTGCTATCGCTAAAACTGTCATCGATGCGAAAAACGCACGAAAGAAACTCGAAGAGGACAACCGCCATAACCGAGCTATGGAAGAGATTGGAAAAAAGGGATCGGGTCTATTCTTGAAAAAGAGTCCGCGCGGCGGATTCGGTCTTTATCTGAAGAAACAAAAAAACTCCCAATAAAGCTACCCAGAAGGGCTCTATACGACGTCGATTTAATATCTCTGGCGCGCAAATTAAAAATTCCTCACTTCAGGGGTGTTTTTATGCGAGATAGTTTACCCCGTCGAATCAGATCGCAAGAATGCGGAATCGTAAATTTGGATGTTCGTCGAAATAGAGGAACCCACTGGGTAGCATACAAAAAGAGGAAGGGAAACGATGTTGAGTATTTTGACAGTTTCG